GGTAAAATAAAATTGTTGTTGGCGCAATTTCCGCCATTGTCCGCAAATGCAATTTTGTGATTAAAATAATTATTTGATTCGGTTTTTGTTTTTTTTTTTATATATATTTTTTTTATTCACTTTTCTAGCAATTTATTTGCTTTGGCATTATGGGAATACCAATTGTTCTATGATAACTTCAATGTCCCGCATGTTCACCTTTCTTTACACTGAAGTTCTCTTTACTGCTGATATCTTCTTGTCTGATTTCTTCTCTTCTGATATCTCATCGCTTCTCTGTGATCACTTCCTTTTTGATTGCTTATATGACAGAAATTCCAGTATCATTCCTCCATACTCACTTGAGTAATATGTACATCGATAATATTTTCCATGGTCATTTGAATAACATACGTTATATTTGTCAACTTACATACTTCTATTATTCCCAGAGTTTTCTTTAGTTCTTGGTCAACTTATACTGCAGGCTTCGATGAAATTGTAGGTCATGTTTTTGTTTTAGGTCTAGAAACGCTCAAAAATTCTTATCAGAGATCATATGAGATTATGCTGGTGTTGCCATGCGGCCTATCAGATGTTGGCCAGCATAAGCGAGTGGGCGGCAGATAGAAGGAGTAACCTAGAAAGGCCATAAAGTCAACATGGCATATGCCAAAAGCTCAACATGTACGAAACTCTGTTAACACACACACACACATATATATATATATATCTGTGTCTGACTATACAGATACACACATGCAAATGTTGTGCGGCCAATTAAGCAACATGACCTAGAATATTGTAACCCAATTGTGCCCCAACTCGGCTTAAATCACAGCTGTGCAGCTGTATGTGTGTGTAAGTGTGCGTATTAAATGTGCACTGTATCTGTGCGGCTGTGTGGTTGACTGAGTGAGTGTAGCCTTTGCATGTGTGCTGCATGCTTAATTGTCGTAATAAATGCGTAGGCACATCACGTGCTATAGATATTTATGTACAAACGAAGCATGCATATATGCAATGTATATATACATACATGTATATTATATATCAACTAAATATATGTATTTATTATTTTTAAGTGCCAACGCTTACCCTTGCCGTTTCTTTCGGTCAATTCGTTTTAGTTTAACGTTTCTACAACAATATTATGATATAGTAATTCCAACAGATTTATTAATTATATAGAGACATATAGATAAATAGTCACGGAAATGATATTTAGACAATGCTTAGTATATATATATATATATATCTGAGATAGACTGGACTATAACATACGATAATAAAATATATATGCATAAATATGTATGCATTATAAATGTATATATTTATTTTATATATTTTCATTATGCATTCCAATATTCCTGATATGATTCTATTGGCATTAGTGAATGTGTGAGCTTAGCTTAGTTTATTCCTATGTAACATTATCATACACATATATAATACTACTATACAATTTTAGCGTCAGTCAAAATAACTCGAGCTTCTTTGTAGGCATTCGAAATTGTTGTAATTACAGCTTATTAAATTGTTTTTCGTTATCATGGGCTTCGAGGTCTTACAGCACTAATTCTATATAGCTATAGCTTAACTTAATTATTACAAGCACGTTCCTGGACAAGCTAAAAACCTAAAACTGGTTAACTCGCTGACATAACCATGAAATCGGATTGAACTCGTCCGTCGTTCGAAATATGTTAGTAGAGCCACTGTTTTATGGATAGGAGCTTTACCTAACTAACTGTCTTTTTCTGCCCCTCGCTCTCTCTCTTTCTGCCCCTACGCTTTCGATTCGCTTGTCATTTGATTGAGGTAACCCATTTACTCTTGCCAGACACGTTTGGATCAACTGATTTGCTGGCAATGCCGCTATCAGAGAGTGGCTCAAAGGCTCAATCAATGCTATGTTATGCTATCAGCTAAAGCCCTGTCTATAAGGCATGACATGGTATAAGGCCAACTAAAACACTCTTGACCAGTGTTCAATAAAGTGTGAGGGTGAGAACTGCTAGCAATTTACAGCTGAGCGCATGCATAGAGCAAGTGAATTCAGCTCAAGTTGTATATCAATGGAGCATGTAGGCCCTATGGCTATGGCACATGAATTGAGATATTCTTGCTTTATATTATATATATTGTTCTCATTTGTTGTTTTATTGGTATTTGTAAAAATGAACAAAGACTAGTGAGAGAAGGAAGCGAACTGCGTCGTAATTATTAATATCTTTCTTTTAAGACATTGACTAGTCTTCTACTTATATGTACACATATACTCAGAGAGTGAAAGAGCCAGAGAACTGTTTGCTATACATGAATCAGCTCTCTTATCAAATATCTCGCTGATTTTTGGCGTTAGTTATCATTATTAGATTATAAAAATGTCATTGAATGTAAAAAAATTTCAACACAATACTTGAAATCATACAGATCAAAGTTTCTACAGCCTCTTAACAGTCTAATCAATTCCATAGTTATTTTGATGTATTTATATATATTTATGTATAATATCTATATAAATACGAGCAGACATAGGGTCATAAATGATATTAATACCACACTTATCACACAATTAGTTAAACACACTGTATTCACATTGTTTTATTTTTTGTGCATATATAATTTTCGTATCTCTTTACTGTCACTTTTCCGTAGTTTCCAATCTGACCAAAAATGATAAGAATGGACTGTTTGCTCATCAAATGGGTATTATGAATTTCGAATGTTGTATGTCTACAATTTTATAATATTGTATTACCTATATAAGCGAAATATCTTAACATTTTTTGAATAAGTTATAGTTCACAAAAAAATTAAGCACCGGTAACATGTGTGTCTATAAATAGATTTATTTATAATCCATATTATATAGCGTAAGGGTATCTACATATTGGTTTAATCTCTTCTACACTTCCTCTTCTATTTTGCACATGCCAACGCAGATTCATTAAAAAACGGTATTGTGTCGTGCTTATCGCACGCTGTCGCAGATCTTTATCTATGGTAAGCGCCCGCTGATAAGGGGATAAAAGCAAATATTGGTCTTTAGATAAGGCCTGCAGCTTACGCATTGTTCGGGTGTATCACAAATAATTCTCATTTAATATTTTGCCATCACTTTTTTGGCGTCTCGTGTGCCGAGACTGGGCGAGAGATAAAGCCAGGAGAAAAGCCACAAAGGGATTGTGAAATCTATTGTAGTTGTTGTTGCTGTTGTTGTTGCTGTTGAGGGAACTTTTGTTTTTGTTGTTGAATGAAGCAGCGAGCAATGCCAATGCCAACGGCCACGCCTGCTGCTTCTGCTGCCCTAAGTTGCAGCGGGGGCGAAGAGAGTTTGTTTAGTTGCTTAGTCAACAAGCTGATCGAGTATACATAGTAATATATATATATATATATATACGAGAAAGTAAATGCGAGAGCATGCAAATTGTTTTTCTTAGCAACAAGCTAGTCCCACCCTACTACACGCCCCCATCCCTTACCAGCTGCACCCCCAACTCTTGGCGAGCGGTCGCTCGCCCTCTTGACGACGAATCCAATGTCGTTATTTGTATTATATTCGTTTCAGTTGAAATTGTTTTGTATACCTTATTTATGTTTACGTAAAAAAAACAAACAAGTGCTGTTGCAGCGCTTCGCAGTAAAAAACAATTGCTATCTATATGTAAATACATTGCATACAGGCATTTTTAAATTGCCGGCCAACTCGTGCTCTCACATAACTGTAATTCAATTAACAGCAGCAACGGTACCGGCAGCAGCAATAGCTGCATTAAAAATTCAACTATCAACTCAGCTTAACAAACCCTACAAATCAAATGCAGTTTTTTGTGTAAGTGAAACGAATTCGCCAGTTCCAGTTGAATATCAAGAGAAATCCAATTGAACCAAGTGCTTCCATTTATTGTGAATCCTTTAACCCTTCACAGTAATCATTGGTGTTAGTGAAAATAATTAGCCGTTGTCGTTAAATATGAACATAAATAACCACAAATCCAATTGGCTTGTGTGTTTCTAATTTGATTATGTGTGAATCCCTTAACATGTAAATGTGAACACGAATGAATTTAACATATTCACCTATCTAGTCAATTGGCAGAAAGAGTGCTCTAGCCATGATTAGCTGTTAATCCTTTAACATTTCAATGTTAATATCATTACAAGTGTATAGCGTATGTTATGCGTGCTTGATCTGTTAACCGTTCTATTATCAAGAATATAACATTCTAATGTTATTCACATGGGATCTCACGTTAGCGCAATTGATTTGATGATAGTGCCTATGTAATGTCATCTCATTTAAACCGGACGTTACCCATACGTACTTACAAGACCATATACAAATTGCAGCAGATGCACTTAAAAAAATTTGTTTCACTTAGTAATTCCAGCAAATCAAATGCATTTCTTTGTGTAAGTCAATCAAAGCAAAGCTCAAAGAGCAGTCAACCATAAACTGAAGGAATGAGAGAGAAAGAGAGAGAGAGAGAGAGAGTGAGAAAAAGGGACAGGTAACAGTCCCAATTGGCATACCTGCCCCTGTTTTTCGGCGGGCTACACCCACTCAAGCGTAGCCAAAAGCGTTTTTCAATTTTATCTATTTTCATTCAATTAAATCTCGTGTGTAAAACTTTTCCGACAATAAAAAAAGTTTCCGTGACAATTGAATAAACTCAATTTGTTACTAATTTGTTTTCAAAGATTTTTCACTTAAAACGAATTCAATTTATGCACTGAATTGAAAGGTGATTGAACGCGCGGTCTGCGGACCGCCATATATACTGATTTTACTTAATTTTAGTCTATTTTATATATATACAGAAATCCGTGTATGTATAAAGCTACTTTTATAATTTCTTTAGTTTCTATAGAGCAACTAAATTAATTAACATAACAAATACATGATATCTATAAGAAAAAGAACGTTTTTGAAATACTTAAGTTTTATACAAATATACCTATATATAACTATTTATATATCTGATTAAATCACTTATCTAAATTTTTTCTTTCAGCTTCTCCAAGATGTCCAAATATTCGGGCAAAAAATGTCGCCTGCTCTCAATGATGTGGCTGACGGCGTTTTTCTTCTTTGTGGAGATCATCGTGGGCTATGTGACCAACTCGATGGCGCTAGTGGCGGACAGTTTTCACATGTTGGGCGACATTGCTGCCCTGGTCATATCATTCCTCTCAGTGAAGGTGAGTGCACCATAACCCTATGATAAACATAAAACTATAATAAATATGTAAATATATGAATATTCTTATTCACAGATGTCGCCCAAAAAATGGTCGAAGAACACCTTTGGCTGGGCACGAGCCGAGGTGCTGGGAGCTCTGGTCAATGCGGTGTTTCTGGTTGCGCTCTGCTTCAGCATCACGATTGAGGCTTGCAAAAGGTGAGGCACTTGTACCTGTACCCGTATATATACTATATACATATATATAGTGTATATATTTATGTTTCTTTGTTGCTGTGGTCAACGCCTCCACAACGCAGGCACACACACCCAAAGCGCAATCCGAACCGTTTGCCTTGTCACCATTACGTCTGCTTACACATTTTCTTGACCACTTTGTTGTTGTTGTTGTTGTTAGTCGTTCGTTTAATTTGTAAATTTGTATTTTGCTTTTGTTGTTGTTGCTGCTGTTTGAATTTGCGTTTTTCGATCTTTTTTGTCATTCGCTATTCGCAACGTTTCAATTTGCATGCCGCGTGCATATTTATTTCTTCCCACTTTACGATTTTATACGCCATTCGATTGGATAAACGTGCAAAGGCTGCTCCTTTATTGTTCAATAGAATTGATCAAGATCTGAGTTTAGCTAAGTAAATATATGCAGTTAAGCATATGCATATATTTTCTCAGTATTACTATATAAAAATTCATCATGTAAAAGTATAAAATATTTATTTGGTAACATTTTCATGTTAATAACAGCAATCTGCATGCAGCATAACAGAACTAATGCTATTGACTTTGCAGTATAACAGAGCTATAAAACTTAACATTTACGCACTTTCTTATTAACATTTATATGTAATTAATAACATGCCTGTGATAGAGTTTAAAGCGAATGTTATGCATTTGCTGGATTGAACAATTCTTTAAATTTTATCTTGCATTTTTGTCACAGGTTCATTGAGCAGGAGCCCATACATCAGCCAGAGCTATTGCTCATTGTTGGTATACTCGGTCTGCTGGTCAACATGGTGGGCCTGTGTCTACTCTATGGTGCGTATGCTACATATTAGTTAATTTAATTCATAAATAAAACAAGGTTAATTGATTTTAGAGCATGGCGGTCATCATGGACACTCGCATGGCGGTGGTTTGACACGCAATCACAGCCGGCTTACAGAGCTGGCCAACATGGACGAGGGTGAGGATGAGCCAAACGATTATGCCTATGAAAAGCAGAAGGAAAAGCAGGTTAAGAAGTCCAGCCATGGACACAGCCATGATCCCGGCCAGATGAACATGCGTGGCGCCTTTCTGCACGTGCTCAGCGATGCCTTGGGCAGCGTTATTGTGGTAGTGAGTGCACTGGTTGTTTGGAAGAGTGACTGGGAGTATCGTCTGTACATTGATCCAGCGCTGTCCATTGTGCTGGTAGCGCTAATCTTGCACTCTGTGTGGCCGCTGCTGCGTGAATCGGCGCTCATTTTGCTGCAAACGGTGCCCACGCACATTCAGGTGGACGCCATACAGAAACGTCTGCTGGAGAAAGTGGATGGCGTGCTGGCAGTGCACGAGTTCCATGTCTGGCAGTTGGCCGGTGATCGCATCATTGCGTCTGCACACATACGGTAGGAGTTAATCGAAATACCCTTAAATACTCTTAGCTAATGAGTTTGAGTTGCCTTGCAGTTGCCGCAATCTGTCAGAGTACATGAAGATAGCTGAGAAGGTCAAGGAGTTCTTTCACAATGAAGGCATACACTCGACCACCATACAGCCAGAGTTCAGTGAGATCGAGGGCTGCAATATGTCCGATGGTACCTCCAGCATTAATATGAGTGGCTCCGATTGCTGTGCCCTCGATTGTCCCACCACAGAGGAGGGCTGCGTGAAAGCCACCTGCTGCCAAAACAACAACAAATTGGTACGTTGCAATAAATTTCTTATGAACAAGAGAAAGTTAAATCGATATTCGTTTACAGAATCCGCTGCCTTCACCCTCAAGCTCACCTTACATGTGCCGTCAACGCAACGCGGCACGCCAAGCGGGCGATGTTGAGGCTGGCTCGCTGCTAGAGGCCGCAGCCAGTGGCATCAACCCGGTGATAAGCAATGGCAGTGCTGTTACAGCAGCCGCGGAGCCAACGCCAAAGAATGAAATAGTCTGACAACAGCAACAGCAGCAGCCAACAGCACAACAGCATCAAGTACACTTTGATACAAGCCCAACCACTAAAACAACCACAACCACAAAATCATCAACAACACGTGATATAATAAAGCAAAAAACTTCCAAAGTCATCGCTGCCAGCGATGCCAGCCCAAGTCTCTCGCTAACTGCACAAAGACGTCGCGAGCTGCAGCTGCGTGCCGAGGAGCAGTCCAAGGAGCAAGTGAAACTCAGCGGCGGTGCCTGCACCCGGAACGGCGATGAGGTGGCTCTTTAAAGGAGCAGTAGCAGTAGAAGGAGACGCAACCTAAGCTGTTTAGTAGAAAATACATACACACACATATTTTGTTTTTAGTTCGTGGTTAAGTGCAGGTTCTCAGCGTTGTCTAGTTTAGCAGATAAAGAATTATTTTAAAGTGTTGGTGCTTATGTGCAACAAGCGACTACAACAACATAAACACAAACATTAACAGCGCACTATAATTCATTTATATATTTTATGTGCTAGTTTAATTGAAATCAAAATGTTTAGATTTAGCAATTTAGCACTTATTCATATAATATATTTAAATTATATGAAATGTTGATAGATTGAACAAAATGAAAAACAATGAAACAAAAGATTAGTTAATTCTTAGCCGTAAGCGCAACAACAATTAAGAATATATGTACGTTTTTTACATTTTGAAAAAGTTTATACATGAAAAGGAGATGAAAAAAAAAACACATTATATTTAGTAGATATATATATATATACATAATATAGTTAATGATCAAAGACAGTGACAGCTGTGACTGTTTAGAGAAAAGTTAAAAGAATTACGAATACCTAGCGTATTAAAATTTTTGCAAATTCTATATAAAAAAAAAAAAAGTAAAATAAAAACTTATATATACATTCTATAATTAGGCATTAATTTTTTATTCTTAGTAGTTTGATTAATAATGCTAAAGTATGAAAAGGGTTTTGCTGCGCTATGCTAATTAGTATATCATTAATTATATTTATCATTGCTATGCCGCTGTATTATCCTATCTGATTGTTTCACTGTGTTTACGTATATGTCTGTAAATATGCCTACATCAAACATAAATCATTATATAATTAAATGATACGAGAAATGAAAGCCAAACAATATATAATTCTATTTGATTTTGATTAAAGCCAAAGCCCTTCCAAATTTCATTTGTAAATAATATATTTTATTATAGTTTTGCAATTTTAATTCACTTCATAACAACTTAAAACAATAAACAAAGTATTTGCATTTTATTTACAGAGTAGATAACTTTTCCTGTATATTTACAATCGACTTTAAGTGTGAATTTTAATGAAAATTAAATTTGAAAAGCAAACTAAAACTAAAATAAATTAGATCTTTCAAAGGAATGTAACAAACAAAAGAGTGTGCTTGAAATAAAGAAAATATTTATTGCTCTGGCTCGTGCTCCCCGTCATCAATGCATTGCATCTCTGAGAAGCGAAGCTGACGCTATAAGTTCTCATCCAGATTCTTGTCGGTGTTCTCCTCGACAATCGCCTCATCCCACGGTCCGTGAATATTGAACTTATGCCTTTGGTTCCTCACGAATATGAGCGGACAGGCGAAGTTAATGAAAAGCGTGGTGCAGGCATATAGATATAGCACGGGCCGCGATATGTAATAGAGCGCCGCACAGCATATGCAGAAGATGGGCACCATGCACAGGGCGTGCCATGTGGCCGCTGTTATGATGGGATAGAGCACGAAGAAGATTGCCGCCTCCACGAGCAGCACAAAGGCGTGATACGACGTAGACAGACGTGACGCCAAGCATATAGCTCCGAATATGGCTGCATTGAGGGATACGGCTTTGGAGACCATGGCCACGTCCAAGCCGTAGTCGGAGAACATTAGATTGAAGAGCATCACAAAGAATGTCGTTGTATATATGGTGTCCGTACTAATGGCCTGTGTCAGGGTATGCAGCATCGGTGAGAAAATGTAGCCAAAGAGCAGCACCGTGCACAGCGTCTTCGAGTCCTCGCCCAGCAGTTTCATGCTGAGACTGCTGCCCCGATAATATAAATATCCGATGCCAGTGATGATGCACGTGGGCACCAGTATACTCGTCGGTCCAACGCTATCGCTGAGCATCATATAGTAGAGTATCAGAAAGCCAGTTATGCAGGATATTTGATTGTTCAGCACGGTGATGCCGGCAACAGCCTCACCGAACGTATAAAGTCGTACGTGAAGATTCGTTTGCAAATCTTTCAGAAAACTCACATCCGTATAGTTGTCCGGATAGTCACGATTTGAGTAGAGGTTCTTTACCCAAGGCTTTCGCTTACCGTGCGAGGTTTTAGCCATTTTTTAATTAGAACCAAATACATTTATTGACAATTGGTTTGTTTACAAGCAATCAGCTGATAGAGTAATCGATATCACCAATACTATGTATCGATAACAAAAAGAGGAGGCGCGCAAATTGAATTTCGATTAACTTAAAAAAGACCTCCGAAATTGTTAAAATGTTTTATTCGCGCTTAAGAGTTAGTTGTATAAAGACTGTAATATTAATATTATTAGGCGGGCAAAAGTGCCCTTGGCTAGTATTGTAGCGTATATATAGTATATAGAGTTAAAATCAGTAAAAATCCATTGGATTAGTTAAAAAGGGGCAATCGTCGAAGAATTGGTTAAACTAACCCAAATAACATTGCATTAAAAATTGTGAGTAGGCACTTTCGTCAGCTTTTAAAAATGGGCTCTAAATAAGGCCACTGTCAACAATAAGAGATTCCTCTATAAATACGATAAGGGTTATAGAATTTAGGACCAGCCGCCCGTCAGTTTATGAAACAGTTCCTCGTTGAGAGTCTGATTGTTATCCTTGGAGCGCATCGACATGAAAATGTAACCGCCAATAAATTCGTGCACCACCTTACAGTCAGCAGAGAGGCAAGAAAAGACGACGTTCTCATCGTTGAACTGAATCATCATGCACTTAATGCCCCAGTTAACGTTCCAGGCCTTCATGCTATTGTAGCGCCAGGTCTTGATGTGATCCCCCGTGCTCAGATCCATGCGCATGATTCGATTGTGGGCCACACCCAGCAGCTCCTCCTTGCGGTGGCCGTCAAACTTGATGATGAACAGCGAGACGCCAAAGTCGGGCAGAGATTGCCAAGCTTGGATATACTTCAATTTCGCTTCTAGCAGTGACAGCTCCCGCACATTGGCGTGCGCCTCTAGAATGCGTTGTACAGCCTTGCCGGACAGCTTGCGCAGCATCTTCGGCGACAGATAGTCGACAGGATCCACACTGCGTGGATCGATGTTGACGTGGATGCCATGCACGGGTCGTTGCATCTGCAGCAGTGAGAGAATGCCATCGACTTCGCTCTCGTATGTGCTGTCCGCCAGGGAACGTCCCTTGGCCGCTAGGCGACACGCGGCCAGCCACTTGGCGTACTGTTGCTCGTTCTCGCAGCGCACCCAGACCTCGCTGTTGGGTCCATGGCGATCCTCCGGTGACACCTCGAGCCGTATAGCATATTTGCCCTGTGCCAGATTCACATCTGGCGTCACCTCGCAGCCACGCAAATTGATACTAATTACGGGCGCAGTGCGTCGCGAATCCTCGGCGCATTTGTACAGGTGCAAATGCAAGTCGCGATAGGTGAAGAAGTAGCGCTTGTAGCCGCGCAACGTGAAGCGCTGCGGCTTAAGGAAGCGCAAATAGTCCGAGAGTTCCGGTATATGGGTGATGTTAACCGAATCGTTGGCATTACCACCTTCCAGCGTGATCTGCAGCTCATTGAGCGCCGAATCGATGTCATCGTCGTCGTTCTCCTGGCTGGACGTCTCAACGCCCGAATCTACGGCGGGCAGCGGCTGCATGTCCACTTGATGATTCACCTGGAACTGAAGAGCTGCAAACATCAGCGTCTCCTGCTCGGTGCAGTCCAGTTCCTCGTTCAAAATTGACCATTTGGCCTGCTCGTACAGCTGGTTGATGCGCACCTGGTCGTACTTGGGATTCATGTCAAAGAACGTATAGTATTTGAAGCGCAAGCACAAAGTGTCATATTCCCGAATGCCCTGTTCCATCAGCGACAACGAACTGTCCAGCCAGCCAACATTCAGTCGAGCCTTCTCCACCAACGATTTGGGACGCAACAGACGGGCGCGTACATCAGCGCTGGGCGCATGCGGCGAACTGGCCAAGTTCTCTTGGAAGTCGCCCAAACTCGAGGAGGAGGAGTCATAGGTGCCGTAGCCTGTATGGCTGGGCTTCCAGTTTCCGGGTGTGTGAGGCGTGGGAGAGCGTCGACCTGCCACATGATGTGGAGAGAGCGGTGCACAGAAGAACAACCCTGGAGCGGATGGTTTGTCAAGGCTGCCGTTGCTGCCGCCATTAAAACTCGAATTGATGGGTACAAAAGAGTTGGTATCTGGGGCAGGCTGCAGGTAAGTCGTGCCGTCTGGCTCCGCAATCGGCACACGCTTCAGATGCGGCAACTGGGCAAAGTTCTTTTTCAGATGCTCCGGCTCGAGTGGCTTGCACAGGGACAACTCCTCAGGATAGCGTATGTCCAGCTGTTTGCACAGATTCACAACAGCTGCAAAGGTTTTTGCCGAGTAATCCACGCGGCAGTCAATGTAACGTAGATCTGGCAGCTGGACGCGCAGAATCTTGTGCATGGGAGTAAAGTGGAGCAAGCTGTCCGCCTGGACGCCACATTGGTCTAGTGTGGCTCGTGTGCGTGTAAGCCAAATGTTCTTGGCTGGCCAGTAGAGCGCATGATCGGACCAATCTTTCGGATTCTCTGGATCGACCAGCTGCAGCATTATGCTGCCCAAATGCTGGTCACCGCGCACGCGCAATGTACGCTCCAGAGACAGATCCGTTATGAAGATGCGCAAATTCCATGAATTCTCACCAACGTGAATCATTGTTATTTATTTGTGCGTGCTGATGTCAGATGTGCCCTTTAATCTGCAGCCACTGTCTATGTCTCTCTCTCTCTCACTCACTCTTTCTGTAAACGTCCTTGTGGCGGCGCCTACGTCAATTCGCTTCGCCTACAAAGATGAAAATCTTATGAGTTTGTGCTGCATCTGTTTACGAATACAGTTATTTCAACGAATTCTTGAAGTTTCAATTACACACTTTAATGCGGGCACGCTGCATATGTCGTAATACTTCCGGATGCGCACAATTTCATTGATTGATTTTCACTTGAGAAACTGGAGCAATTAATGAAAATGCATTGAAATAGAAAGCGACGTTCGTTGTTCAATGAATAGCTGCTGTGATGTTCACTGCTGAACCAGTCGAGAACTGATGTGCAATTGCAATAAGTTGCCAGCACTATTGTAATCGATAGACTTTTGTGTTTAAATTTTACGATGCGTAAGTACCGTTACCTACCGCTTGCCATGACAACGAACTTCAGATTAAGCTTTAGCACCCACTGATTTTACCATTTCAATGTCAACGACTAACAATTAAATTGATTATTATTAATCCCCACCGAAATGTCAGTCTGCAAAATGAGCATTCACATCAAGTTGCCAGCGCCCGCTTATCGATAGGCAAAATCACATTGTATTGTTTTGACGATGTCCAAGTACCGTTATATTTGTTTTACCATGGCAACCAACTCCAAATTAAAAATCAGCCCCAAGGCTAAACTTTTCTATGATATTTTACAAACAAACAGTAAACAAACAAGCAAACACAAAATTCGTAACCAGAGCAGCAGCCGTTTAATTTTCAGTTAGAAACCGACAGCTGTACCAGCCGGCAACAATATTACACCAACATTCAAATTCATCATTAACAATATTTACACAGAGCAAACAACTCAACAAATAAATTTTAACTTTTCTGCGCAATCATAAAAAATATAAAATAAAGTGCCCTCGTGTGCACTTAAATGGTATCGCCGCGCAGATCCGCATCCCCCATAACAGAAGAACCTCGGTGGGATAATAACATGTCGTAAGTATCCCAGTGGATCACTGCATTATCCCTCATCCCCCTAACTCGCAACTCACAGGTTGCCGGCAAAAAGTTGTGAAAGCCTCTATTCGGCTAGCTCTCGCGAATCTGCTAGCCAAATTTATCAGCGGAAACAACCGCAGC